CTACTCTTCTAGGTTTGCGAATAAATAAGGATCACGTTCATTTCTACTCCGACATCCCAATCTGGGAGTTCCGGTCGGTGGTTCGGGAGTCATGGACAAGGAACCAAGCAGCTTTAGTGACTACTATTAAAAAATTCCTCTGACTAATCTATAGTTATAGCTCAATCGTAGAAAATTCGTTGCGAAGCCCCATCGGGAAGAATTTAGGCCCCTTTGGACGATGATCGGCAAATTCAGGAACAGAAGTTGTAAAGTCATATAATTGACCAGACCGGTGAAGAATATGTACTTACATCAAATAATAAATAAAGTATCCACGGATGAATTGGTGAACGAGTTTATGAGGAAAAAAGTAAAATGAGGAATTTTTCAAGTTAAACTCACCATACTGAAGTGTCAGAAGGAGTACATGCAGATGCAGATGTAGAATTCCTAATCGTAGTCGAAGCATCACTGCAAATTGAATATCATTTGCATTGTTCTGTTTACGTCGAGCTGTCTTCTTTTGAGACTGTTACTGATTTGGGAACAGTTGAAGTTCTTGACCATATTGAACTGATGCAGCTTTCAGAATCCTTCCGAAACAACCGGAAAAGAGGGGCCAGTTGTCGAGCTGACTCGTTTGGTGATGCAGCAACCATTGTAAGCTGATTTTCGTTTATTTGCAGCCTTATTTGTATGCATAGTTCTCAACTGTATCTTTCATGCTATTCGGTTCTGGCTGCCAATATATGATATTGGCTCTCAAAGGCACAGTTAACGATAAAATGGCTTAGCGATGACTTTTCGGTAGCCTTGGAGTGGGAGTAAGTAATGGGCGAGTAGTGCTTCTCGTCCTCGCTTCCAAATCACTGCCTAGTGTCGCTGTTGAAGCAAGAAGGGTTTCAGAGCGATGCAGATTCGAACGAGAATTCGCTCTATGAAACCGCTTATAAAGCGATGTACTGGGAGTTGGGATATGGCTTTTCCCTCGAGCAAACACCACCCAGATATGTAATGTAGTTATGGCTTTCCAAGAACTTCGATAGCGATAGCTCACCTCCTACCGCCCGAAAGCATGCTCCTTCACCCTCTAGTGTCTGCAGATTCCGTAATAAAATCCAAAAGCCCTCGAAAGCGTGGGATCACTAGTATGGAATTTTTTTATGGGCTTCTGTAGAATTCTTGAAACGTCAAAAAATTGAGACTCCTTCTCCGACCTAGCTATACCAATGCTGAACGCAAGGTTGTCTATCTACCCCTGCCAATATATACTGACAACCTCCCATTGTTACTTTTCCTTGTCCATAGTTGGTTGGCTCTTTCACATACGTAAACGTGGGTAGTTTTAAGTGAGCTTATCGAAGTTTCAACAGGGACAGTGCAATCGAGGTTACCATTGCTGTTGTGACCGTTTAATCTAATTTCTTATAGTGATTTTCTACGGATTTTTGTTGGTGATGGTTGTCTAATAATGACGGAGGGACAGTTGCAATGTGCAGGATATTCTGTGTCGGAAAGTGAGTGTTTGTAGTTTGAACTGGTTCCTAGCTCTATTCAGATCAAACTGTTGGTCGCTACTCAGGCTTTCCGAAATACCCACTTTTCAGATTGGAAAGTTCCGCTCGCACTGCAGATATATTGGAAACCCGTGATCATTATGGTGTACGAAGCGAAAGTGGTCAATGAACTGATCATCAATGTGAGTCAGATATGGTGTAAGTGGCAATCTGAGGCTCGGTAGGATGCGAGTAATTTGTCGAATATTCCTGGCCGGTGTCACTACTTAGCCAATGTTTTCTACAAAATCAACTCACTCGTTTCGGTTGTTCCTCATTTCTATCCTTTGGTCTTTTGATGCTTCGACAAATGGTTAGGATGTTGCTTTTGAGTATCAACTAGAGGCAGAGATGGCGTCAAAAGATTGATCATGTTATAGGAGAGTAGTTACAACTAGGTACAATGGTTACTCATGCTCATGCTCCGAACCCCAACCCTCCATCGTCTGCCTTCACTAGTTATCTGCAAAAATGACGAAAAATTCGAATTTCAGTTGCTCAGCCGATTTTCTTTCGACGACAATTCAACGCAAGCAGAGTGTCAGTTGGTTGCATGGACGAAGTTCTTCCTTGAACCTTGCATCGAAAGTATGGTAGTTCTGATAGTACCTTCTTCCTCCTTGAATCATGTTTTTCACCAGCTCCTAATCAAATACTCCTCTTTTATCGTTTTTGTATGGAAATCGTTTCTCTGTTGTTTGCCTGGAGGATCACACAAGTTTCCCTGAAGAAGCCAGTTTTTTTTNTTTTTTTTTATTTTCAAATAGAGCATTTATATGAACGAATAACAAGTGATTTTGTGTGTTCCAATGAGTTCACTTGATTCCTAATCATTTGAAGCTATTTTTTTCTAGAAGTATTTCGATTGCTGCTCAGAAAAAGTAGACTCAGTGGGCGCAGGTCCCTCCCTAAGGGAGTCTCATCTCAGCCCCATCATAGAAGGCCAACTCGCTTTAGTGGACATAAATCCGATTGCTAGAGATCGGGGAAATAGTTTCATGTTTCCGACTGTACTCGAAAATTGACAGTGGGAGGTACCATTTTTTGCAACGTGACTTTGATTTCCCCACCTTTGAGAAAAGTGTTTCACTTGGAAGTACGCAGAATAACGGCATGAAGATTAAGATCTGGTATTTTGAAAACCCTACATGAAAAGCCATAAGCCTCGGGCAAAAAAACCGATGCTACCTATACATTAACCTAAGTAAACAATCGTTTGTTATGGGCCTGAAGAGAAGCTTGGTTCTAACCGAAAATTGAATATTTCGACAGACTTCGTTTCATTTTACCTATCATGAATTTCAGCTGATACCGATCTCATTCCACCGTCGGATTGGTCGCGAATTTTGCACAAATTAGTTGCAGCTACTGGATTCTTTGATGCACCACTGGTTGAAGCGTATGTGTTGAATTTCAATGGGAGACGAGGTGGGAATAGTTTGATCTGTTCTTAATTTCCAGAGTGATGGCAAAAGTACCTAATCTGAGCGATAAGCGTCGTCGGCAGGTTCGGCGGATTATGGACATCAGCTTATCTGAATCATTGTGCGCTGTAGATGATTCAATGAGTGTCCGAACACTCGAAGATCTTCAGCGACTCATCCGAAAAGGTCAGCCTTGTTTCTGTCCCTTCGCTCGTTATTTCTTGCATCTTGAAGCTGCTTGCTAATGAACGTTTGCAATTTTAATTCACTTTTGCTTGCGAGATGTTACGTGCCAGCACACGAACTTTTTCTGGGCCATGGGAAAGCTTAGACCTTATTGTAAGCCTGGGTAAGTACCTGTTTCTGTGGAACAGCGCATTATTTATAGATTCGTAATAGACGTGGTATCTGCCTTCAGTTTCAATTGCAACTTCTAGTGAGCATGTCGTAAGACTGCTTGTACACGTCCGGCCACCGCTTATCAATGCATAAGCCACATATGAATTCAATACGTCACTATGATTTTGAATAGGAGTCGAATGCGGGGCGCATTCTTCAGACGACCTATTTGGAATGATCATAGTCCACAGATATTATCCTTTGATCCTTTTATCACAAAATCGAGAAAACTTTGATATAGACTTTGTTTGGAAGCCACGTATTTGGAGATCGGCTAAATTTCAAAGCTCAGTACAGCAGCATAAATATCCGCGTCAGATGAACGCAAATGTTTTTTAAAAGCACAGTTCACGATAAAGATGGCTTCTGATGGTAACCCGCTAGGATAAATCTGGGCCTCCTCGTACACCGTGTGTGGGGTTGTCAGGTCGGAAATCGGCCTAGATTGAGTGTCATAAAAGCTTAAAGCTTATCCCTTGTGTATGCGTATTGTAGAGGCTGCAGCATTCACGAAGAAACCTATGTAGGAAGTTCAAACAACTGGTCATGACCTATAGTGACAGTGAAAGGCAATGCTGGAGAGTTTTGGCGCTTAATGTATTCAGCTCTTTGCGCAATTTCAACAGCTGAAATCTCGTCCAAATACTCCTTCCATACCATTGTCGTCATGGTATCTCGTGCAACCTCTATTTTCTCTACTACTTTACTACCTTATTTTTCGCAAAATCGGCGAGTTTTCTCACTTCCTTAACCACCCATACACTATTTCCAACCAATCATTCCCCTTCCCGGCTTCAAAAGAGTACCTCAAAATTATCGCCTCTTTGAGTTTTTGTCGACTTACTATTATTTATTGCTCGATTGCGTTACAGATCGAGGCACTGCATTGACAACGGCAGAGCCACCAGGAGACGGCTTTGTGTTGTGTGACTCAGAGGAATGGTGTTCGATGCCGTTGGGATTTCTGCCAGGTGGATCGGTAGACACATTCTCGCTTATAATTGACGACGATTGGATCCTCGCTCAATCTCGACGAAAAGATCGCGATTTGAGCGTCATTGAAGAGGACGAATGAAAATTGAACTCAACAATTGTTGTGTCAGACTGCTTGTACAGTAATTACTCATGTACATGACAGAGTTATCAATTATAGTAATGTACAAAGTCGATCCCTAGATAGACCATCAAACGACAGTCTGAAATGTGTAGGTAGTCAGTGATTGTAGTATTCTCGTAGCCTCCCGGAACAAAATGACTTCTCTTTGTTGTGATTTTTTGTTGACGTTGAATCCTAATAGCTGTTAGATTTTACTTATTTACTCTTGATATCGGTTTCAGCTACTTTCTAGGACCACATCCAAACCTTTCAGAAAAGTGTACGTTGTAGATCGAGGAATAAATTGTGTACACGGATTTAGCTCGATTAACACAAAAATTTGGGGGTTCCAGAGTGCAGTAAAGCTCAAAGAAACCTTATCATCAGCTTGATACAAGAGATTTCTAGAGAAGGATAGATAAACAGTAGTTGTTGTAATAGAAAAAATAAAAAGCGAAATTTTTCATCCCAAAAGTGGTGATATGAGGTACATCTTGTTTGTTTTGTGTCGTGTACGTCTTCATCTTTCCGTCCAACCATAAAATTCATGATCTTCGGTAATTAGTATTACTAATCATAAGCATTCCTCCCTTATTGTTCTACGTCGATTACAAAGACCAAAGAGAACGATGCTTCAAATGTGTCAATGTCCAGTGAAACTTTGTTCATCCTTCCTCATTCTTTCACACGTTCTGTGAGGTTGAATGACTCAGGCAAGTTGAGCAAATTAAAGTGCCTTTCCTGCTCGTAAAACAGGAGCCTAAGCAAAATCATTGAAATATTCCATAAAGTCATCGGCACGGCAAGTTCATCCATCTCAAAAACCACTGTTGACAATCGCTACCGACAGGTGGCCATGGGATGCCAGGCTGATACATTACAAATAGGTAAAGACTAAATACAGTTGTGGCTCTAAGGTACATATGATGTAATCGGACTTAGCCAAGTATCGTGACTTAAGGAAATGAGCCATAAACTTAGGCTCCAGCTTCCTAGATAGTTTTAACATACTATTTCTTAGCAACTCAAATCCCGTAACACTTTTCACAATATTAGGTTGCACAAAAATATGGCATTATAAACCTCTTCTCAGGGATTTTTACAGAAATTTCCCGAATTTTTTTAGATAAAGGTACATTTCGGCTGCTTGGCTCCTAAGCCTTAGCCCATAAAGTACATACGTTTCTCGACCAAACATTGCATGATTTCTTTCATTTTATTTGGATTTTAGCAAAAAGAATACATAGATCCCTTTTCAGTTAGTGTATACAATACAAACTACCCTTCTATTACATGATGGTAAAAAGACTGCCCCATGCTGGAATCGAACCAGCGACCTTCTGTTTACAAGACAGACGCTCTGCCACTAAGCCAATGAGGCACGCTCACAGGACGAACATGTGCTTTGTTGAACTTGATCCCAAACAAACACATTATGGAGTACCTGGATTTCAAGGAATATCATCGAAAAGGAAGGGATATTTTGTTTGACTCGATAACATAGCAATAGAGAGTTGCGCTGATGAACATGAGAATGAAAATAGAAATAAAGCAAACCCACCATGAGGAAGCTATCTGTCTCGAACAGTAAGATTTGTTCTGGGGACCGAATAGTATGCATTGCAGCCATGTGAATTGGTTTGGTAAGAAAATACATGGGAAGGTCATCCACCATGCTATGCTGTGTATTGGCAATTGCTTTCTATGTCTTCTATGTTTTTTTTTCTTGTTAGAACTTTGACGAATATTAAATTTCACTCATCCAAAGACACCCAAAGTTATTGTCATACAACGCAAAAGCAGAAACGTTAAGGCGATGGTTCTTTAACAACTGGAAAAGAAAAGATGATCACAGGAAAAAAAGAGGAAGCCTGAAGAGGCAAGAGTTCTGGGGCTCGCCGTAACGATTTTGCCCAATACAAGCGAATTCGCTCAGGATTCCAGGCAACAGACAATGGGAACTTGAAGAGGGAGGGATTAGTCGTTTTGCAAGTTTCTCAGACCGCCGAAACAGCATCATCAAGAATCTACACCATTCAACCCACTTCTTGTTCCGGAGCGTTTATAGGAAAATCTTAATAGCAGTAAAGGAGTACTTAAGTAATGAAATGAGACGTGTACTGAACTAATCTAATAAAATAACAGACGCTACAAACGGAAATACTGCCCAGGATAGAGTATGAAAAAAGTAAGTAGCGCGATGATCACCCCACTAAACAGTAGAAGCACAAGACGAATTACTGATTGAGAGGGGCGACTGAGAGTCGATCCTGATAATCTAGCTTCAAAACCAGGCGTATTTCTGAAGACATGCCACCAGAGGTAATCCGGAATGCCAAAAACTTATAGTAAGCGTCAGCGTCATATTCTGGAATACTAAGGTACACGAGAGTTTTACTCAGCCTACTTACAAATATTTATTTATTTTTTCAAAATACACACAAAGGTGCGCTTCAGTAGCAAACAAGAAAACGAAACCAGTTACAAACTTAAACAGCAGAAAAAGTTAAAAAACGCGCAGTAAGTAAAACCATACCCGTAGGTGGATACTCTTTAGGCTATACACGTCTTGAAATCCTGTATGCCCAACAAAGCAAAGCCTAACTTCCTCAATTTCTTTTTGAACGCATCGGTATTTCGCTCCTTTAGCAGGTCTAATGATAGCAGTTGAAGCCATCTCGCTCCAGAAATACATAGGCTCTATGATTTGTGAGTAGTTCTTCAAGTAAACGGTGTGTAGTGGGGATTATATCTATCTAATTTTCGAATAGTTGAACAAGAAATTTAGTTCAGAAATTCTGATAGCCCCATCTCTTCCCGAAAGACACCAGAACAGAACACTAAATCGATACTACTCGTCGTTACCACTAAGAACAAAGTGATAGCAGTTCAAACGGATTCGTATGGGAAAATGCCTGCAGCAGGTCTGGGCCTGTATCACAGCGGTAGAGTGAACATATGTTAAACTATTTTAAACACCTGAGTGTCTTTCTTGAGAAGGGCCTCACAATTGCGAGGAATATTCGAAACAGTTGCCATAACATCCTCATAGTTTTGTACAACAGCTCGAGTAGGTTCAGAAAACGGCGAAGAGGCAATGGTCCCCTAGCTCCTGGTGAACATATAATGTCCCTGTCTCATGCAACATAGTCAACTACTCCGCGGTATGTGTCCACTCGAATTCATTTTAGTGGGTTTGTTCACAGTCAGGACGATTTCATTCAATTTTCGCTGTCCGATATAGTTCGCCCATGTTTGAATGGTACCCCTTTGACTCGTGCAGTGCAGCACTGACATGTTATTCAGGATGTTTGGATGCCAGGTAAGCTTTCCACGAAAGTGGATAGGATATCAAAATCGAGCCACATTCAGCATCATAGACGCGAATTTTCCGCAAGCTCCCGATTGCAAGTGTTCTAAGACGTTATGCTCAGTGGTTGCATGCCCTTCTTCAACGGTCAATTAGTTCGTTCGCCGACGGCTCAGTATAGCGACGTGGATCAAAATTTGACCTTTAAACTACCATTTTTATCTGTCATGTATCTTGTCATGATTCCCTGTCTTACAGTGTACCTGCCCGAGCAGTGGCTGCTGGCGTGCTGGTCTAATTCCATGGTGAAATTGGTCGCGATTACGAAAGCAATAAGATCCTTTTTGTGAAGTACTCAAATGAAATTCAATGGACGCAAATGCGCTGTTGTGTTGTGCAGATATGTTCGCGAAATTCTTTTAAGTCGAAATTTCATCCAGTCAAAAGTCTATGAAGATGCTTAGTGAAGTTAATAAAGTCACCTAAAATTATGTTACATGTTGGAAACAGTCATCGAACGTTGCTCGGCCCACTTCCTTTCAGATTTGAAGGTCAAGCTTCACAACTGTCGCGTTCGAAATCCGCTTTAGTTCTTCTCTGGCTGAACATTCAAGCGTGCCGTCTTCATGGCTCTAAGTGTCAGAGTTCTACTTCGCACATGGTGCCTTTGGAACACAGGGCAACGTCGTTCTTGAATTTGACTTGCTGAAAAACTCGCTCCTCGTGATCGTTCATCCTCTGCAGGCATTCAACATCTCTCGCAATCCCGAAGTCTTAGGCATCTTTCATAGTCCACGACCGGTCGCGCGACCGGTCGCTCGACTGATCGCGCGGGATCGTCCGCGGCGGCACCCATATCTAGCGCGGCCTCCTCGACCGATCGAGCGACCAGTCGCTACCGACCGGCGACCAGTCGCTAGCGACCGGTCGTGGACTAAGAAAGATGCCTTACTCGTGCTGCATATCGTGGCTGTCGAGCCCCCTGGCACTTCTAGGCACTTGACCATAATTCACAGTTTCTTCCATTCATAGCGTATGGTTTTTGAGGAAATGATATAGTTGCAGCTGGTCGATTGTCGACTCCACATAAACGTTTCTAACGATTTATGGCCACATATACAAAGAGTAACGTAGTAGCGATCTGCCGATCACGGACAGCGTTCTTGGCCCGAGGTTGCCGGGCCCGGCCAGTCTTTAAAAGAATTTCTTCGTCTTCTCCTCGTCCTCGATCAGACGTTATTCCCACGCTGTCTGGTTTCTCCGCAATGCTTTGTAAGGTCGTAAGTTGGCTGCAAACTATCAGATGACTCACCGGTGCCCTTATTGATAGTTAAATTGGGAATGCTTGGCTCTTACAATGTGAGCGGACTCAAAAATAGAGGAAAGGCTCGTAAACTCTCTAACCACAGTAATGCGATCCTATTAGGCATGTAGAAAAAATTGTTGTACGTTGTCATTAACGATATTGGCCGACACACCCAAGAAGGTGTTTGAGGCAAATTTCTTATAATGAAATTTTTGCTATCTTGACGGTATTAACTGCTCTTCTAGAGGAAATGTTTTACGCTGGAGGGTTTACGAGTAAGCATTTGGTAAGATTTGGCGTTTCACATCAGAGTTGGCAAAGCCACACAGGGACCTAGTAGTGATTAGTTCTGCTGATAGTGAA